CAGTGGAAGTGCCAGCCAGCAACTCATTGTAATTAAGCGGCTTAGGCGTTTGAGAGCCTCTGCTGGCACAAAAGCGTTGCCTGCTTTTAGGCCTCGGCCTCGGCCTCGGCTGCCACAAGACCAAGGTCGTCGCCAGCTCGGCCCGCCGTCATTGCTATGTCTTTAGAGGCCAGTTTATCGAATTAAAAAAAGCAATACGCAAGTAGGCCAGGGAGCCGTGGAGCCACGGAGCCATGGAGCCACGGAGCCAGGGGTCCTTTCGGCTCACACTTCATTGTTCCCGGCCATAGCGGAGGGGCACAATAAAACTGAAGTGGCTGTGGGGATGCCGCTGGCCCGGATCCCGCACCCTCCTCCCCATATCCTCTTCTCTGCATGTACACACTCGTACTGGGGAATTGCTACGAGGCTGCAGAGTGGGGTCTGGGGCATGGGGCATGGGGCATGGGCCATGTGCGGCCAGTGGCTGTGCCGGGCAAAGTTGGCATAATTATTTCATTAACACTTAACAAGTGGCCAAGCCGAGTCGGGTTTGGTGCGGGTGCGGGTGCGGGTGCGGGTGCGGGTGCGAGTGCCAGTCGGGGAGCGGACCTAAGTCCGGGTCCGGGACGCTGTTCGTTGCCCGATGCCGGAGAGCAAAAACTTTCGCATTACGCATTTGTGTGCAATTTTCAAATTAACAATTGTTAATTTTGTTCTTGTTGCCAGTTTCTTTTTTCTTTTCTTTCAGTCCTTCCCTCTTTTCATTCTTTCTATCATGCGGGCGTGTAACAAAACAAAACGCAAAATGAACACAAAAAGTCTGCAAAAAATTTTAAAAATATATAAACTTGACCGTTTGCCTTTTAAAAACAAATTTTTTCAGCGCCGCTGCAGCTATGTATGTCCAGTTGTTGGTTTTCTTCGTTAATTTCGTATTTTTCTCTTACCAACTTTTTATTGCGTGTTTAGCATAATTTTTTAATAATTACATTTTTGTGTGCTTGACCAAAAAAAAAACAGAAAAAAGCGCGAGAACAAAAAAGAGCGAAAAACTGAAACAAGGAAGAAACGAAGGAAAATACAAATAATAAGGAACAAGGGCAGGCGAAAGGAAAATCATCGTTTTCGTTGTCCGCTCGTTGCCCCCTCGTTGGCTGTGGACAAAAGTTGAACAAAGTTTATTTGCATTACTGACAAACTGTTTAATTAGGGATTTTTTCTTAGATTTTTCAGCTGCGAAACTTTCTGTGTGCCACTGTACGTACATGTCAGCCTAAGTGTATATGTGTGTGGTTGTGGGTGTGGGTGTGTCATGCCACAAATACAATTAAACATGCCACCCGAGAGAGAACACCACGAGCCACGAAACCAAAATAAAATCAGCCTTAATCTGGCCAGAGTACGTTGGTGGATAGGGCGGGTCGATGTCGATTTAGGATGAATTCATATCAGGCTGCCAATCGAAGGTTTTTAAATACATACATATATATTACTGGAATGCCCATTTAGAGCTTTCACCAACATTCAACGTTATCTTGAAATAATCCCATCAAATGGAATATATTTCAAGTGGAAATCAATGATATTTAAGTTAAAACTGATGAAAAATTATCAATAAATAAAAGAAGTGCATAGAGTACCAATTAAGGTACAAAAATTTGTACATGGCATGGATTATTGTCGACCAACAAGACAAAAATGTAACAAATACACAAAAGTTATCAGAATTGTCGTAAATAAAAAATTCTAAAAGTCGAACTTTTCATGTTGTGGATGAAAACCTTAATTCTGCGTAATATTTTGGACCAGATTGATTAGCTTTTTATTACTAACCTAGAATATATGTACAAAGCATGAGTACCGCCATAAAATATACTCGAATATTGGAAAGATATAAGATATTAAAGATTTACGTATGTAAAACATGATATATGTACATAAATGTATTTCCATCAGAATTGTATGTATCTAAGTCAAACTATCTCCTACATCGATTTCGGAACTCGCACAATAAAATCAAATCTAGTTGCTACAAAAATCTATGTTTTGTATTTGAGTAAGCGATGGAAAACCTGTGAAATATTATTGACAAAAAAATACACATTTTGGAATTTATTCGGGCAAAAATGTAACAAGTTTTTAACCCGAAAAACCCACAGCATAAAATACCCTTCGTTGCAGATAAGTAAGATTACTTCTAATTGGGGCTGTAACTATGAAATATGTATTTCCGCGATGCAAAGGAATATGAAGATGCAGAATTTTAAATCTTCGTTAGTTGCGACTTGGAAGAGAATATCCACGATGATTACTGGTTTAGAGAATATCAACTAGAGCCAAGCCAAGCTCTTTATCAAAAGTATACCACCCTTTTCGAGGGCATCAAACAATCCATTCTTATTGCTATTGGTCAAAATCTCTCGAACTGAGGCAAGTGAACGAGCCGAGCCGTCTTTGTGTGTGTCTGCACCATGCCGCTCCGTGGAGCGGCAGCATAGAGGAGCCACAACCACATCTACCCCCACATCTGCACCCACATACAAAGACAACAGGACGACAGGCATCCACATTCTGATAGCAGCTGTCAGTCACTCAGGCAGTCCGTTAACCAGGCAACCAAGCGAAAGGAGCAGCACAGGCCCAGGTCCAGGTCTAGCGGGGTCGGGAGCATCGGCAGGGGCCAGCAGAATGTGCTCGCATCATTGTAATTGTTAATTACTTTGATATTTATTCTTTTCTTCTGATCCCTCCCCTGGTCCACACACGCAGGCTCAGAGCTGCGATCCAGTGGTTCGCCGGAAAGGAGAGCAACAACTTGGGCAGCTGGTGTGTCCAGTGGGGCTCACGCATATTTATGCTTATGGCAACGTCTTTTGCTTAAGCCACGACTGGAGCGCTGATTTGGCCGCCACACGCAGCTAACAAGCGATGACCACCCACCCATACCACGCCACCCACACGTCGCCACCAAACAACGTCGTCATGCCATTTGGCAGTGGGTGGGTGGGCTCTCGGCCAGAACGAGCCACGTCAAGTGAGTTCACAATTTTTGCGTGCCACCATTTTTCTTCCGCCTCTGTTAGCCCCTGTTCCCCTGTTCCCCTGTTTCCCCGCTCTGCTCTCCTTCGGCCGTATGCTGCACGGATTATCCTTGGCATGCAACGCCTTTATCCTGTTTTATTTGTGTTGTGCTGAAGGCTCTCCTCCGCCATATCCTATTCTTCCCCTGCTTCCTTTTTTTTTGCCCGCTGATTTCGCTACTTAATTTTTCTTTTTGCCCTTTTTTGGTCCGCCATGCTGTCTGTGTCTCTCGGTTCACCCGTCTCTCTGTCCTTCCGCCTGTCTGTCTGTCTGTCTGTCTGTCTGCCCTCTGTGTATCGTCTCGTTTCCGTTCTGGCGGAGCTGATTGGGCGTATTTTGTTATTTTCATGTAGCTGCTGCTGCTGATTCTGCTTCTGCTGCTGCTGTCTGTCAGTCAAGCCAAACGAAGCCAGAAGAATTCCCGCTCCTGCTGTTGGTCGTGGCCCTGGCACAGGTCCCAGCCACGGCCACGGTCCTTGTCCTAGCCAGGGACAAGTCCTGGGCGGCACCCGCTCGTTTGTTCATTCGCTTTTTTCCCACGTAATTAAAACTTGAAACGCATATGAATTAGAAAATAAAAAAGAGCGCAGAATAAAATACGAGAACGCGACCCGGAATGGAGCCATTTCATGCTACAGAATGACATCCTGTTCCCGCAGTCTGACATCGTTAACATCGCTGATTAAGTTTTCTTGTCCTGTGCTCTGTCTGCCCGTCTGCCCGTCAGTCAACGTGATTTGAAATGAAATTTTTATAATTTCTGCACCACCCCTTGGGAGCAATGGTAGCCCGAAACCCCTTTCACATGAGCTTTACTCCCAGAATTTACTTTCGTCAATTCTTTGCTTTATTGCCGCTTCATCGTCATTGAGAACAGAACTTGCCGGACCTCAGCGACCATAGAAGCCGCCAGGGAAGCTTCCAGCATATCTTCGGCCAGGGGGACCGCCATAGACGGGCCCGCAATAGGGACCCCCGCGATAGGGGTCAAAGCGGCCTCGGCCTTGCCTTCCTCCAAAAGCACCCAAGCCGACTGCAAATCCTCCAACTTGACGTCGCACCCGGTCCCCTCTGACATCTACATCAACATCTCCTTCTGCCAGTAGGTCCTGTGGCTGCTGTTGCTGCTCCTCCGCCTTTGGCATTAGTGCTGCATCGCCTTCCGCCAGAGCATCCCTCACAAAGACAGCCAGCAAGGCTGCTAAAACTACCAGACAAAGTATGGAACGCATCTTAGTACTTGAATGTCGTTCTGGATCATGCCTGTCCCTATTTATAGGAATTGTCAAGACCCGATCTTAACAGCACAAACAAGTTTTAGTCTAAGTAAAGCAATTAAAGCCGCGGCTGATTTGCGTATGCAGGGAGATATTCCTTCCCCGTAGCTAACTGTTAAGACGTTGTACCACATACGAGTACAGCCATGCAGCCTGTAAAGGCAGAATTTACTCCTACGAGGTCGCAGTGCATGCCTAACCTCTAACACAATATCAATTGTCTACCAAATATACCCTTCTAACATATTTAGCCATTCTCCAGAAATTGTTTTTTCATGACCGCTGTCTGGGTTTCAGGTAAAACGGCATTCGGGGCCTTCAGACTCGAGGACCTTCGTCGCAAAGTCTGCCTTCGATGCTGATCCGCACCTTCTCTAACGTAGATGAATCTCCTCTACCATCACCAAAGTGATTTACCCTGCTCGTATCTAGATCCCCGGCCAGAACTCCATTAGCTTCTGTGACATCTTCCGCCAGAGGCAACGCACAGAAAAGGTAATGGCACCCATTCAATGGATCCACTGGCTGAGTACCTTGAAATCACAATATAACACGATGTGTACTAAACTGAATACCTATTAGATTACCTTTTACAAGGCGGAGATGACTCCACACGAGTATGCGAGTCGCGAGCCGTGACAGAACAAACAGGTTTAGCACTTGGTAGGGTAATTAGAGCAGTAGCTCGCGGTGATTTATTAGCAGCTAATCCAGGTCTGATCATATCACATATGCACATTAAATGAATAACACTTAGCCGAAAAAGGGGCCTCCAAAGAAGGGCGGGGGCGGGGGAGGATAGAAGCCGCCAAAACCACCGCCGAATCCGCGCCTGCGGAACCCACCGCCGCCAAAGCCGCCGCCATAGCCGCCGCCGCCGCAACAGAATCGTCTCCTCCCGCCGCCAAAGCCTCCTCCAAAGCCGCCTCCTCCAAAGCCGCCTCGTCTGCCGTAGCCAAATTGCCTGGCCAGGCGCACTGCCGGCATCTCCTGCTGCTCTGTTCCCTGATTTACATCCGCCAAAGTCAGTTGCTTCACATCCGCCTCAGCTGCCGCCTCCTGTGCCAGGGATTGGGACTTCGCCAGGGCTAGGACCAGAACCAGGCCGACACTTAGCACTAATAGATTCAAGTGGTGTACGCGCATTGCTGTTTACTTTCGCTTCGTTGGGGGCTCACTTCTCTAAAACAGAGCTGAGCGCTGGCATAGGCCTTTATATACCCATTGCCAGGCCCTCCTAGATGACTGGGGGTTCTAAACGAGTTGTGCTGACGACCTTAAGCAATTAAATTTCCTGAGCATAATCGAATCGCGAAGAAAACCCCCGAAATCAAGAGCCCCGGGCAGATAGACGCAAAAAACAGAAATTAGGCACGCAAAAAATAAGAATAACAAAATCATTCCTACACAACAAAAACTACCTGTTCCCCCTTTATCCCCAACCACTCTATCACCCAGATTCTCGCTTCGTTCTCGATTCTAATTATGTTTGACCCGCGGGGGGAGTATCGAGCCCCAGGAACTTTTTAATGAAGTCTCTTTCGAGACATACCCTACGATCTTCAAGTGGAAATATTTCAGTTCTTTGGCTCTCAGAACTACTCAACAATATCCTTATGTACGTTAGTGCTGAAAGATATTGAAGCAGTTGAAAGTTCTGCGACAGTATTGTATTTTCTAAACTGTTTCTCAACTGCGAACTCCTACGCTTGAAACTACGCTCCAACAAAAAGGTATTCAGAATGTTCATGAGCATCATTAGCCAACTCGTAAAGTTCTCTCTTTGCCTTGAATATAAGTTTCGAAAACGAAAACTTCAGCTTTGGAAAACATCTAAACAGAAATACACAACCTGGTAACATTATATCCAGTATTTAAACAAGTACTAGATTCGAGTGTCTCAACCAATTAATCAAAGATTTGTTTCATTCTTAATGAATATTTAGGAGATCACAAAGTCCCCCGAAAAAGAGGGAAGCAAGTAAATCGGACTATTTCTATTCCTCTTTTTCAGATGGCCCTCGAATAACTTCGATTTTTCTAATCGACTTCACAGTTGACAGATTATTCTTTTGCGTCATCGTTTGAGAACTACAAGTTAAAACAAATTTTGTACTAGGCAAAATATGTATCCGAATTAGAAAATAATTGATTAAGCCAAAAGAATGAAATTGTAATATGATAGCCAATGCTAGGGTGTTTTCTTTGAATTAACGAACAATGTTTACCCCCAAGTCTTAACTCCAACGAACTCTGAAACACAAAGATTAGTCTTTAAACCTATTTGCTTCAATATAGTTATATATATCTCTCCATATTAGGAGGTTGCAGAACTGAAATCCCGTACCTCCCAACTGGAGAAGAGTATTTTGTGCTTCTGTTTTATACGTCATGAAATGAATGTACTATATACCCACTCGCATGAGTCAGTTTGTTGGGGATATATAAATACGAGTAAGCTCTGTGGGTAAACAGTTTGACGCAATTCAGATGGCAAGAGAACAGGTAAACCATCTCTAATCCAATTAAATATATATTCATACATATGTAGGTATATATGTATTTATATACATATGTATGTCTACGTGAATATGTTATTTCATTTGTCGGCATCTAATGCTCATTAAGAGATTTCGTAAGCACTGGCCACATGTGAGCTGTTTACAATTTTGAGAAGCCGCCCCGAGCGCTGCCCAAACGATACGTATTTATAAGCCATAAATAACGTGCAAACAAAAACATGCCACAAACAACAAGTATGCGCCCGGTGGGGCCACGGCAGGCCTGGGCCACAGGACCTTCCTCTGGCAATGTTGTGGCAGCAGCCGCAGCGACAACAACAGCAATAGTAACAACATCGCGGCCAAATTATAAGGCTATAAAAGGCAATAAAAAAACTTTGCGATATCAAATTACAACGCCCTCATAAAGTTATAAAAGTTTCGAGCGTATCAAGCAAAGCACGTTCCGCCCCGCCCCTGCTCCTGCTTCTGCTCCTGCCCACCTCGCCTGATCCCCTCTCCGACCGCCCTCTTTGGGGAGCAGGCCTAATATTTTCAATAACAAATCAATCAGCTGCGGCTGCTGCCTCGACGGTCAACATGGATAATCAGTTCGAGCGGCTTTTACCCCTCCTCTCCGGATCCTGTGAGGGATGCTGCCAGTTGCCAGCAGCTTGGGTGAGGGCGTGGGCGTGGCGTGGGCGAGGGCGTCGGCGAGGGCGACTGTGTGAGAATTGGCATGGATAGGGTCCAGAGTGGGCGGGCGTATTTTTGAAGGTGCCGTAGATTTATTGAGACACGATTTCGATAAGAACAGCGCTATTAAAATGGCCAAAAGCAGAAGAAATGAGATGAAACAGAGGCTCATCGAAGCTTGAATACTCTACCGTGGTTTCAGAAATAACTTCCGCATCATCTTCAGTTCTCTAAGGATCTAAACTATGAAAATCTGCGATTTTGTTGTTGTATCTTACAGACATAAGCATCGATCCAATTATAATCCACTGCGACAGTTTGTCGTTATTACTTCATTAATAATTATAATTCAGATTCCGACTGAGACATGTGGGACGGTGCATGTTTCAAGAACCTATATTGCAACTTGCTACAGCATCAGGTCTCCCCGCCCAAAGTGTCAACATAATTGCTCCTCAACAACGCACCGAGTATATCCCGTGAAAGTGCAGACTAACAAGGCCCGTTGCAAGACTGCGTTTCGATAGCAAGAAATTTTTCTCTTGGCTAAAATGGGAAAAAGAACAAAGTCGCGGACGAGGGCGAAGGCGAAGGCGAAGGCGAAAAAAACGAAAACTTTTATCAATGTTGGCGTATGGCTCTTCCATGGCTGTGTGGGTGTATGGGTGCCCTCCACACTAAGGTCAAGGGATAACAAAAGGCGTAAATTTAAAGCCCAGTTAATTTTTTAACAATAAAGGGCGCTTGTCAAGGCGAAATTTTACAGCAAACGTTTAATCTTAAACGACTTAGGGGCCTAAGAAGGGAGAAGACGAGATTGGAAAGACGGATAGGACCCGCCAGTGGCAGCATCAGCAGCACCAGCAGCTCCAGCAGCTGGGAGCAATGGATTGCTTTGTTATAAATAGGAAAAGCAAACGAGAAAAGAAGGAATTAAATGCTTCCTCTGCTAAACAATGGAGGAGCGTGGGGCAGCAATGGATCTGCCAATCACTGGGAAAGCTTCTGTTGATGAGCGAGCGACAATGCAAATGACAAGGAAATTAAGTGAGCCAAAGAGCAGGCAGATGTATTTCGAACTCAATTAAAACGTGCTCGATTGCACTGTGATTTCACATTCTATTCTATTTGTAGGCTATAACACTAGTCAGTCACGTCGCGGATTGTGATGCTGGTGGGGTGTTTGTATTTAGCGACCAAAGCCAAAACCACCTCCTGGTCCTCCGCCAAAGCCGCCACCGGGCCCGCCGAAACCACCGCCGCCAAAACCGCCTCCTGGTCGTCCGCCGAAGCCACCTCCAGGTCCTCCGCCAAAGCCTCCACCGGGCCCGCCGAAACCACCGCCGCCAAAACCGCCTCCTGGTCGACCGCCAAAGCCGCCGGGCCCGCCGAAACCACCGCCGCCAAAACCACCTCCAGGTCTTCCTCCGAATCCTCCGAATTGACGAGCCTGACGCACAGAAATCGGCTCTGAGACACCTGCATCCACATCGAGCAGCGTAGTGGCCGCGTTGGTGCTGGCGACCAGGGCAAGGACGAGGGCCGCCAGGACGAGGCAAATAAATGTGCGCATTTTGGACAAACTTCTTTCACTAATCACCGCCAAAGTTAAAGCGGCTTCTATGGAGACCCAGCCCCGTGGCCGGCCAATTTATATGATTTGGGATTTATCGACTCGCGGGAGCGGCAGCGATAGCAAATAAAAGCTGAAGTGGTTCGACCGGGCCCGGGCATCAGCAGCATCAAAGTTGTGAGTGGTTCGCCAACTGAAATGAATACTCGGCGCAGAGCGATTCGTGTTAACTGACACTGACTAAGCGGGCAAGCCAGCAATGCGTATAAGAGAAGGAGATCAAACACACAGAGAGCGGCGCAGCAATGTCAATAGGCATAGTCATAGACAGTAGCAAAAGCAATAATAATAACCAAAACCTATTAGGCAACAAAACAGAGAGGCAAAAAGAGGCAAAGTTTTAGCCAGGGCCCAAAGGAGACTTACAGCATCTGCCAAGTGGCCCGTTCGAGGTGTTTCTTCTCCTCCACCCCACCCCATGCCTCCGTCCCCGCTCCATCTCCATCTGTCTAGCCAGAAGCTGTCCAAATGCGCAAAACATTCAAGTTCCAGATCGATAGACAAGTGGCCAAGTGTGCAAGTGTGAGCTGCCGGGAACCACCGCCCCAAGTGGGGCTCTCCTTCATCTATCAGATTTCGTAACGCTTTTTGTTTGCATTGTTTCTGTATTTCTGATTGTCTGACTTAATTAAAATCTAGGCAATACAGCAACAGCTCAAGCAACTGGTTGTTATTCAAATGCCAGCGCTGTTTTCGTTTTCGTATTCGATTCCGTTTACATTTGGACTGGCTCTGACTCATCCCGGTTATTGGGTTATTCAGTGGCTAGCACATGCTTAAGAAGCGTCTACCTAGCCATCTAGGAGGCTTTTGCATAATAAACAGCCGCATTTAAATGGGCTGTGGGAATAACTAGGTATTGAAAGGCACCTGCACTGATAAGATCTTTATTAAGACGTCAATCATTTTTAAACTTCCAAAGCAGTGCAGTCTAAAAATAATTGCATTTATCACCAATCAACCAAACAATTTGATTTTCATAATAAACAATTTAAAAACAAACATGGCACTTAAAACTTTACATCCATAAAATATAGTGTTCGGAGTTTCGAGTTATGTGTAATCTTGCTTTTGAATTCAATTTTGTTTATTTTTCGGCAACCTGTTGAGTGAATGGAGTCCCATTTAAACATCAAATTCACATATGTAGGTCTTTTGCAGGTCCAATCAATAATAAATGTAATAAAAATCATAAAATAGTAGCGAACAGAACTAACAATAGCTCATAATAAAATATTAAAACACTCTTATAGTCCCTCTGCTTTTTGTAAATTTTTCAGAATTTGACTTTAAGAGCCTTAATACCAGATATTTTAAAAAATTATACGTTTTTCTGTGTCTCTGAGAGAATACTTTTAAGCAAGATATAAGTAAAATTTGATTAGCATAGGTAAATCAAATAAAATCAAATTGCATCCGGTTTTTGCTCCATTAAAAAAAAAAAAAAAAAAATTTTATGAATTCCCCAATAAGCATCTTGGATCTAACCTTAGTCAGAAGTCAGACAAAATTGAAGTGCAAAAGTAACAAAAAAAGATATTCTAAAAAGTCTGGCGGCAGACGATTATTAAAAAAAATTCCATTAAAAACGAGGGGAACATTGTGAGTTGTTGCGGAGACCGCAACTCTACATTTATACCCGATACCCGATGCGTGCGGGAGAGACAGAAAACGTGTCTGAACATGTCGTCGGGCGCTGCGTAGCGACTGAATATTAATTTGTTCCTTTTGGCTATAAAAATGATCCGATCTCATGCAGATTCAGAAATCTCATATATTCAGCAACCGGATAGATATGGTCATTCTCTATGATTGTGCGTTTTTAGTTTTCTCGTATCTTCAATATTGTGGATGCCACAGGGGCGGAAGTGTGTAGGGCGAAATTTTGAAATACACTGGCTATAATAATAATACGATCTGGTTAAGATTCTGCAGTCTTAAAGATATGGTCATTCTCTACGATTCTGCGTCTTTTGTGGGGGCGGAAGGGGGCGGGGCGAAGTTTTTAAATACACTTGCAGCAGTGCCATATCACAGAAGTCTTGATACAAAATGTTGTTGCTCTAGCTCTTATAGTCTTTAAGCACTAGGCGGTGCGCTAAATCGACTCGGCTATTGATGCTGATCAAGAATGTATATACTTTATGGGGTCGGAAACACTTCCTTCTTTATACTCCTATACTCATTTTGAGTATCGGGTATACAAAATATTAAATTGAAGTCTCTATGGTTAAATTAAGAACAAATGCCACAAGCGAATTTCTTTCCCATAGTGCAGTGAAAGTCCATCATGGGTGAAGTAAACATCCTACATTTCAAAAATTTGTATTCTCTTAATTATCGTTTCTCTTAAGCTGCGTTGACGTCATACTATAGAGCATTACATATCTTCTCCATGCTTCTTCAAAAAGGTATAGTACAAATATTGATGGTATCACTGTCTTTAATTGAAATGTAATGCGCAACGACGATTACCCTGTATGCACTCATTATGGGGAATTATATGCAGAAAAGCTTAAATGATATGATAGCCTTAACAAGACCCAAGGGTCATGTTGTGATGCTCTGAGAGAAATAATTAAGAAAACGGCCATGTCACCGTTGTTACCGTGAGATTGGGGTATCCCCCCTGCCCAACATATAATATAATAAATAGTTTTGCGGAGTTGATAGCGACAGCGAGAATTAGCGACTAGTCAGTCGATCGATTGCCGTGACGGTTTAGAATGTGTCAGATTGGAGATCGATTGTGCAAATTGTATATCAAGACTGAATTCAAGGGCGGACGTTCCTCAATGCAGTAGTGCAAGCGAGAGCGCGATAGACCGACAGAAGAAAGATGCAGAAGGCGAAAAAAAATGTGAGAAAACGGCTGCTGCCGTGCGGCATATATGTAAATATATAATCTATGGATTATGGTCTAATTTTGGGCTGCGTAATACAATATAAACATTTCTTTGAACTTTTAAACTAAACACACAAAAAGTGAAAAGGGAAGAAAAATGTACAACTCATGATCAAGTATGGCCTGTAAAAATAATACAACAATTAATGCCTTCGCTGCTCGAACAGGACAGGCCTGTTTACTTCTAGGTTGTTTTTGAAGACATGTAATTATGCATAATTAATAATTAAAGTCAGCTAAATTGCCGCAGAGAGCAGTTCAAGTACCCGTAAATCATAATGTTCTGATGTAGCTGCACTCATTAAAGGGAAAATTGCGTTTTTGTTGTTAAATAATTGTGTGTACAGGTAGTACGAGTATGTTGTCAAACTTTTTCAACGTGAATCGACATTAAATTAATTAAAAAGAATTTTTTGTGTAAGGCATCCATATCCATACCTTATGCTTTTTTGCGCATATCCCATTTCCCTTTATATGCCCTTAATACAAAATATATGGACATCGAAAAGCTCTTAAAAATACAAAACTTTAAATGCCCTTTTTGCCGATTCTGGTGAAAGATTGAAAATGTTCATTAAAAGATGAGTAAATTTGAATTCTCAAATAAATTAAATCTGATTTAATTGGATGCGTTTATAGATGGCTGAATTTTCTTCGACTCTTTTCAAAACTACACCCCGTTGGCGGCTGGTCTATCTCATATTTACATAGGTTGAACCTAAGGTCATCAAGAGTAGATCTTCTGGATGGCCAAGTTTTTTTTGCGTTCACTTCGGGTAGACAGAAAAACTTCAAGAAAAAAAGCTTGACCCTCAACCCATTCCCAAAATCGCATATTTATGCTGGTCCGGAAGTTTCAGCATTCGCATCAAAACGTGAATGAATTACCTGGCGAGACCCGAACATCTGACCGTCGGCTGCGCTGGCGCCAATGTAAATTAGTAATTTAACTAATCGCCAACTGGTTTTTGGAGAGCTGGAGAATATATTTTTGTCTGCTGGTCCCTCCCTGCTCCCGCTCCTGCTCCTGCTGCCGCACTGCTGATTATGACAATCGTCAAAGTCAAAGTAGTTTTTCGGCGGCTGTGGCCGAGTAAAAAATGTATTTTTAATTTATGCCGGGGCTGTTGGTTTTTTCCGCCCGTTTTTTGTTGCACTCTCTGGGAAATTTATGCGGAAGTTTACAGCATCCACTGGATCGGTGTACTGCGAGTGGGACTGAAGACTGGGGACTGGGGACTGGGGAGCACGGCAGGAGGATGTTGAATCTGAAAATGTGCATCGTTTTGACGTTGACATCGTTAATTGACCCAGTTTCTGGACTGGCTAAAAGCGTTTAAATTTGAATAAGCAAATTTGGGCAGCGAAATGGAGCGATTTCCCCATCGCCCTGCCACAACGAAAGCTTTGCATAAATGAATTAAAGTGCCGCAGCTCTGGCTTTGGATTAGACTTAGGATTTGCCGATTCGCAATTTGCCAAAACACATGCGGCAAAACCGCAATAGGGCAATGGAGAGCTATAGAGCTATAGAGCTATAGAGCCGAGGCGCTTCAGAGTTATAGAGCCATAGAGCCGAGGCGCTTCAGAGTTATACATCGATTGAGCCATCGAGCTATAGAGCGATGGAGCCATCGAGCATTGTTAATGGCCAGCCAGCGCTCATAAAACAAACAGCGTGCCAAACAAAGCCAAACAAACATACAGACAAACAGACACACAAGCCGGCAAACTGGCAAACTGGCAAACTGGCCGAAACGGGCAAACAACCAGAACAACAACCAACAGCAATTCACACTTACGCACCCAAAGCCAAAGTTGGAGGAGGCGTCGCTTATGACGTGCGCCGGAATCTGAATGTGAATGTGGTGGGCCTGGAATGAGAGAGGAATGAGGATGAGAGGCTCGCCAGGTCAATAGCATAACTAACCTTCGAATGAAATTAGCACATTTACACAGCTTAGCCGACCACAGCCACAGCCCGGTCGAAGTTCGGCCGCCACAGAGTGAAATGCTTTGCTCTTTAAACCGCCGTACACCTGGCCATTCGATTCCATGAACGCCA